TTCAGGCTGTTCTCACAGTGGAAATAGTTTTCCCTGCCCAGGACTTAGAGAAAGACATGGAGCAAGGCTCGATTTTCCCACTGGTGGCTGCAGCAACAGCCCTTCCTCCTCCCTGGTACATCACCTGCTATTAGCACCTGCCTGGGCTTCCACCGGACCCTTCCTTCAATGGCATACTGCCCAGGAGATCCAGGTGCCCACAGACATCTGCTGCTCTTCATTTCTTCCAGCAGTCATGCACTGTGCGATGGCTTTCCTCACTTGACCCCATTACCTGGCTGCAAGCAGCGGCCACCCGACAACTCCCCGTAGCTTTTCCACCATTCATGCAGCAGGTTGCAAAAGCCAAGCACAGTGCCCCACAGCCCCAGTGGGGACCGTCCCAAGCTCCAGTCCTGACACTGCCTGCTGCATTAGGCTCCCCCAGCTCACCTTTCTGAGAGTCGTGCTTTTCTGCCTGGCTCTTGTAGTCGAATCCCACTGCAGCTTTGTCCACCTTGTCCTTCTCCACACCGTAATGGCCCCCAAAGCCTTTGGAGTAATCTGAAATAGTGCATGGAGTGAAACGCTGCACCACGCAAGGAACTGGGGAGGGGAGGGGGTAAAGATGGGGAGTGGCACCAGGGAGGAGGAAGAGCCACACGGATGATGGAAAACACTAGAAAAAGCAAGGGGTCTGGAGGGTACAGAATGGATGGCAGGGAGCACCATGAGGGCCCCTGAGGTTGAGGGCCCATGGGAATGGGTGCAGAGAACAAGCACAGGTCATGGCAGCAAGAGAGCCTGCAGGCCGTGGGCAGCAGGAGACAGAGCAGGTTGAGAGGGCAAGGAAGAAAAGTGACATGCCAAGGGCAGCTGGGGAGGCAGTTGGAGCTCAGCCACCCAAGGACGCAAAGCCAAGGCAAGACTTGGGCAATGACAGCTTGGGCATCCACCCACCCACACATCTCCAAAGGAAGGATTTCAACACATGCTCTGCCAGTCTCTGAAAAGCTCTGTCAATAAGTACATCAGGCCCTTGAAAGTACAGAAGAAATTTCAAACTTCTGTTGTACAGCTTAAATTTGCTAGAATGGAATCTCAACTTCTACAAGGAAACCACTGACTCTGGATGCTGCAGCAAAGGCCGAAACCCCCATTTCTGGAGACATGCTCCAGCTCTCCCCCTGGACTGTCTCTGGCACACTCAACCATTATGTGACAGAGACACAGCACATCGTCCTTACCCCTCCCCTTTTTCCATCTTCTAAACTAGTAATGTATTAACTACTTCAACTGTCTTCGGTTAGCCTCTAAGGACTATCTTGTTATTATTGACTGATGTCCTAAGAAACTTCAGCCTCTAGCCGAGCTGCTGGCTGTATAGAGACACTTTCTTTTCAGAGACCTGGTCTGCCAGCTCTGTTTCCAAATCCTGCCCTTCAGAAGGAGTAAATCACAGTTATCTCTTTGTTCCCTGACCCTATTCCTACAGGTCTGCATTTCACAGGAATGAGTTGGGGCTTCTCAATCAAATTCAGCCTTATCAATACCTTAAGACTGCGATCTAGAGAAATATGCATGAAAACATTTTGTATTCAAGAATGGCTCTCTGTTTCATAGAAGCTCAGTCATTCAAGGATGAATCTGTAAGTCCTAGAAATGTCTTAAACTTATCTCGATTAAACTATTATTTACCCATTAGGCCACTAGGAAATGGACTTTTTAGGATGCTGTTTTCAGCAATCAGAATCATAGAATCATTTGGGCTGGAAGGGACCTTTAGAGGTCATCTAGTCCAACCCCCTGCGGTGAGGAGGGACATCTCATACTAGATAAGGTTGCTCTGAGCCCCATCCAGCCTGACCTTGAATGCCTCCAGCGATGGGGCTTCCACCACCCCTCTGGGCAACCTGTGCCAGTGCTTCACCACCCTCATTGTAAAAAATTTTTTCCTTATGTCAAGTCTAAATCTACCCTCTTTTAGTTTAAAACCATTACCCCTTGTCCTGTCACAGCAGACCCTGCTAAAAAGTCTGCCCCCATAAAATATAGATTTTATGACCATTACCTTGATGCTGCAGTTTCCAGTATGGACATATTTTTATGAAAAACAATCCAAACTCCTTACCCTATTTCTAACACTTTCATTTTGTCCTGAGCAATTCCTGTGGTTTTACACAGGCTGATGACTTTCTATGTCTAAAATCTGGTATACAGTCTCCTGTATGGGAATATGTTAATGTAGCACAACTGCATGTGATTCATTAATTTAAGATCAACCAAGAAGGCCTCAAAACATCTTCCTTCTTTTATAGTTTCCTCTGAAAAAAACCATGATTCAGTTCTTCTTTTCTTGGTAATGCAGTATTCCTCACATTTATCTGTCACAGTAATGGACCTTGCCCTCTCATCTTCTCTTGGTTGCAGAGTATTTAAAATATCTTCAGTTTCAGTTCTTCCAATGTTCTTAATGAATCTAGCTGCTTGTATGTACATGTTAAAGCTTGGTTGAATCATCTCCAGAATTCTGCAAAAGTTTGGGTGCTGTATAGGCTTTTGTTTCCATATCCATTGTTGTGCCTTTTCTTATATGCTGGTTTTTTTTTCAGAAATCACTTCTCACGTCCTACAGTGCTTGGGTTCCCTCTGGAGCAGTTGCTCAGAAGGACTTTTAGAGGAAAGGGAGCATCGGCCATCCATTGGGGTTGCGTGTGGGGATGTCTTCTCTGCTCAGCCATGATGTGGTTTCCGTCAAAGCAAAACACAGAGACAAGGAGAATGTACAACAGGAGGGTGGTGACAGGACAGCACGGAAGGGGGCTGCAAGGGTGACTGACTGGGAACAGGAATCTGAAACAAGTGACAGGAGGGGGACAACAAAGGAGCCTGTGCCACAGCAGATAGCACAGGACATTGGGAGCAGAAGAGAAGCTGGGCAAAGCGTCAAGGGGCCACACATGCCCATGCACTTGCCTTTCTGGGAGCAGTGTTTCTCCACTTCACCCTTGTATTCAAAGCCCAGTGCTGACTGGAACAAGAAGGGGAGGAATGTCAGTCATCTTGAGGGCCAACCTGGGTCTCGCCAACCTTGCTCCCTGTCTTGTGCTGCAACACACGGGTGCCTGGTTGCTCCTCGGCTGGTACAGGCCCCCTCTGCCTCTCACACCACCCCTGCTGCCCACATGGCAGCGTGCTCAGGACCGGGCCCTCACAAGGGCCCAGGCGCTCCAGGTAAGAGGTCCGCAATCCTGACCCCACACCCTGTCCACAGGCAAGGCGGCTGGGCAGTGTCTGACACCACGATATGGACAGGAGGGACGGCAACCTGCTGTCCCCATCCAGTCCTGCAACGGCCGGTCCCTGTGCATGGCACAGCCTGGGGGTTTGGAGATGCAAAACACCACAGCCCGCAAGACAAACACAGTGCTGCCGGGATAGGACAGCACAAGCACAATAATGCACACCAGAGAGTTCATCTTCACAAGTGCCCTGCAATTTGTCATCAGTCATTGTCCTGCACACAGGAGATGAGCTGCCTGCTTCAGCGAAGACGGTGGTACACGGCATGCCTAGACCTGTACCCCCTAGCACTTTGAAAACTGCAGCCACAACCCTAAATGTGGCACAGTGTTTTAGGGGCAGCACTGTGCACAGGCCACAAGTACGTATTTCAGCTGCCCTGTGCAACACACCTTGTCAGCTCGGTCCCGCTGGACTCCATACTTCCCCCCAAATCCCTGGGCTGCATCCGTCTGCGAGGAGTGCTTCCCAACATCAGCAATGTACTCGTGGCCCACTGCGCACTGAGAAGAAAGACAGCATGACATGAGCACCCACAGTCAGACTGCCAGGGTGGACGGAGACATAGGCACCACACAGTTGCTCTGCGCCGCTGCCAAGATGCTTGCAGCCATGATGTGACAGGGCCAAACTGACCGTGCTGCTGGTGGTGATGCCTTCCACACAGCTTTTGCCAGTACCAGCTCTGCTCTAAGACGTGCAATGCGGCTTCAAGGGCAGCCATCCCATACAACCGGCCCCACTGCCAGCTCATCATGCAAACCATGGGATGCTGAATACCTGCTGCTCCCAAATGCCAGTGAAGTTCAGTGGGGGACAGTGTCACATGGAGGGTGATTATGAAGAGAAAAGTGCAGACAGGCATGCACAACTGAAAACCCACAGGCAGCAGGTCTGGCATCTGCTCTTTATTTTCTGTGTCTGAGAGCGAGGGTCAGCAGACCTGGCTGGCATCACCCTTTACACCTACGACAGGCCAGGGTCCCGCTGCTCCCTGCCGGAGGTGCTGTGCCCAGGAATTGCACACACTCCTCAGAAGAAGGGCCAGAGGCTGAACACTGGCAGCATCCTGGCAAGACTGCATGAAGGTTGAGGAGCTGCTCAACAAAAAACATCCTCACTCTGCTCCGGCAGAGGAGTCTGAGCATGGCTGCTCCATTTTGGCCCCCTGGAAGTGCCTGTTTCTCACCCTGCCATCTTGGTATCATGAACACCCACAGTGACCCCATATATTGAATACTACTGCAACCTTATCATCTCACTTCTGAAAAAAAAAGAAGTATAAATGATGGAAGGTACATGAAGAAGCGTGATGATGATAATCAGAAAACATAAAACAGATCTGATGTGAAGAACAGAGACTATGAACTCAGGCTTCATCCTGGGGAGATATGACAAAGGTCTGTAATGCAGAATGTGAGGAGGGAATTATTACTCATTAGTTCTCCAAGCACAAGTAGGGAGCCACCTAATTTGTTATGCAGCAGGTTTGAAACAAGCCACAGAAAGTCCTGCTTCACAGCTAAGGGAAGTGGTGCAAGGAAGTTGTAGAGACAAATTATACAAATGGGTTCAAACAGATCCCAGAGACAGGTTATGGGCTAGCTAGACATATGTGAACCTGCACAGCCATGCCAACTCCCCAGTCACTCCCTTCAGGGTCAGGCCAGAAAACAGGGACACTTTTCCCTTTATGAGAAAAAGACTTTTTCACTGGGGCCCAAGAAAGCCCTCTACAACTGTTACCTTATCCATTCGGTCCCGCTCTGTTCCAAATTTGCCCCCATAGCCATAGGAGGCCTTGGGGCCAGTCTCCAGCTCCTTCTTCTTGATGACCTCATGTTCCTCTGACACCTTGCTCCTCAGCTGATGGATGCTGGTGAGACAGAGACAGTTAGGGCAAGTCACTGTGGGATTGTGCAGACCCAGGCAGCCAGCTGGAGTACCCCTGTGCCACTGTACCAGCCAGAGCCCAGCACAGAGCGGGACATAAACCCACTGCCAGCTGCCACTGTGTGCACACACTGGGCCGCTCTGTGGTAGGCACAACCACTGTCGCAGGAGATGATGGTACCCTGGGGGCTGGCAAAGGATCCAGATCAGTAGGCTCAGCTGCTGCATCCAGCCCCCACCCTGCAGCCCCTATTAAGGGCTATACCCCTCTTCAAGAGGAGCCCACGCTTTCCTTGTTCTGTGCGCCGCACTAGCCCCACCGAGCAGGGCAGTACTGGGGTGTCCCAAGGGAGCTGCTGGATAGGATCAGCGTTGGACAGGGAAGGAGCAGGAAGTCTTTGCCACAGGGACAGCCGCTGTCTGGAGATACTCGGAAGTTAGCTCCTCGGAGCATCACAGGCGGCCTGTGAATGTTGCCTCTGGTGCAACACCAGCATCCCAGACTATGAGCCTGCATGCAGCCGGCAGAGCCCGGGCGGGCAGGCGGCA